GGTCCACCCAAACACCAGACGTCATTAAGACGTTGGTTTTTAGGCTAAATCTGGTCGATCCGTCATAGTCTGGATTTAGTACAGAACTAGTTGTTGAAAATTGGGCTGTGTTGGTCGGTCTGATTTTGTCCCACTTTATCCAAAAATAGACGTTGAAAAGACATAAAAACCCAGTTTTCAAAGTTTTTTTCAACAATCTGAACGGCTTTTCATTTTTCACTTTTAAACCAAATGTAGACGCCCTTTGGACGTATATCATGTCTTCTTTTCAATCTATTTCCAACCTATTTTTGCTCGGTGGGGCTGCTGTGTTTCCCTCACCCCTTCAGACAAAGCAGAGCTCCATGAGCTTAGCCTGCTGCCCAAGCCAATCCACATTAAGAGGCCTTTTGTAAGGGAAGAGTTAATTGTTTCAGAAATAATTTAGATTATATTTTGATTTAATGCCTCAAGTCGGTTTATCACTAGTAATGAGTGAATATTGTCTTTTTTCTGACTTATCTCTTCCACTCCTTTCATGAAACTGCATAAAATGTAATTCAGTAAAATCCTTTGTGACAGGCAAGATTGTTGATGTGTATGTTAGGGTCTAAGGTTCAGCTACCATTGGCTCCATGGTAGTTACTTAAATTGACTACATTTACTGTTTTTGCTTTATTAGCCACTAAACCATCGCTCTACTCTCCTGTGGTAGGACTCAGAAGGGCTGGTAACTAACACCACAGCCACATTTTTCTTGTTAACTGAGTCACAACTTCCAGATGTGATATGTCCTTCCAGCCATCCATCTTAGAGATCCATATTTACCATTTTGCTACCCTCTGGTAGTCACTGGGCCCATTGAATTGTGTGAATTATGGACTCTTAAACCAAAATGAAAGTGCATCAGTGGTCACCCTGATAAGTCCTGCTGACTAGTGCCATTAGTGAGGCAAGAGGTAAGGAAAGGAAACTGGATGCTTCCTTATTATAGTTAATTTAGCATAAGGACCACCCTATGTTCTCTATGGGTCTCTCATTGACAGTCTTCAACTTCTTTTGGAGGTTCTCCAGACATTCCTGAGCCAGAAGGATTTCTAATATTTGACTGAAGGTCCTTTAAGGTCCTTCAATTTGCAAATGTGTCTAAGCATTAACACTATTGATCACCTCCTCAGCATGCGATCCGGTTCTGATGGAGCTTGGTACCTGACTAAGCTTGAACATGTTTTAATGAAACTTTTCCATACATGCTAGATTGAGGGTGTCACAGTTTAGACAATCAGATCTCAAGAGTTGGGAACTACATAAACTGCCATATCAACAACTTTGTTTTTTTGTCGTAGCATTGTCTTTGTTGACTCTTCAGCTGATTATGCATAAAGCCACGTGTTCATTTGATCACCCCTCCAATGCAATTATTTGATAGAAACGCAGCCGCAGAGGTTTTTGGGGGTTTGTCTCCAGCTTTGACCATAATCTGTGTGAGCGTTTATCTCCTACAGGGCTTGTGTTAAAATGAAAACGGGTTTTGTAAGAGTGGCAAGAAAAGGTGTTCCTTGTCTTCAATATGTTTGTCCTCAGTTTTTTTTAAATAAGAGATCCTGCGGATTACAGCTGGATATATTTTGAGGTAACATTACAATTGGACTAACTAACTGGCACTAATTGGTGCCTTCAAGCCAATTGCTTGAAAGAAACTGGCTCCAATACATTTTGTTTATTAGTATCACAGAAAAAGGGACTGATACAAATTCTTTAATTATAAACCCTAAACCCTAATTATTACAATGTAACTTTGAATGAGTGAGAAAAGCCCAGAAAAAATATCTCAAAACCGCACATTTATCATCCTCCTAAGATTAATACGTTACAAAAAAATTGAAATCTATACAAGTTATGTTTTATTTTTAAGTGCATTTTTTCTTGAATTGAGCCCATGAGACATTTTGCCAATGGAAAAAGACTATTAGCCTTTAAAATAAGAAAAAACTTTGAATTATCTTATTTAGAGTACATATTGTATAAGTATCTTATTTTAGGAGTAAAAATACTCATTCTACTTGAAAATCATCGTATTAACCTACTCAAATTAAGGATAAATACCCTTAATTTAAGACATTTTTACTTATTTCTAGACAGTTTTTGCAGTGTATGTGTTACTGGTCTGTCACATAAAATCCCCCCAAAAGAGTTGCAGGCTTGAAACTGCCGCCTCATGTTTTAAGGCCACAGCCTAAACCAATGTGCAGCCCGCAAACAAGAACAGGCAGTGAGAAAAGTTTTTAATATTTATTTTGAAACATCCAAACTCCTCCATTTCTTGTTTGAAATGCCTCGCTCTTCTGCTCCTCTCATTCTGTTAACCTTAGCTATTCCATAATAAATACTGTAAACTGAAATCTAACCACATTCTGACCAAATATTCGCTTGAAAATACAATCTAGAAATACAAAAAAAATAAAAATAAAAAAAACTGCTCACATTGTAAATGTCACCACCCTAACAGAACCTAACTGTGGCTTCATTAATGTGACAAAAACTTAGGGGATTAAAAAGCATTCAGTTTAATTTGTTGCATAGCAAAAAGTACAAAGCAGACAGCCAGTTATTCTAAAAAAAACTGAATATAAGAAGGATTTCTTAAGCAATATTAAAAGCCCAGAATACGGCAAATGGGGAACTGCCGTTCAGAAAATGGTTATAGTTCTGCTACCTGTTGCTGTACCTTTATGTGGGTTAAAGGTCACCACAAACCACCTAACCCCTCCCACACCACCCACCTCTTTCGTCAAACCCTGCCTTTCTGGACCGGAAGAACAGATCACACCACTTTAAAAGAAAAACAGCACCTGGGAAGAAAGATTTACATGCAGCATCATCGTTTTCTCAGCTTTGGTGACGAGGTAGCTAACACTGAGCAATCGAAGGATGAAATGGGTCTGATCCCCCGCCTGCGATCCAAGGAGCTGGATGCAGACTTCAGACGCTGCATCGCTGACCTCATCCGAGATGGTGTTTTCCTTAATAGCACCAAAATGTGTTTAGTTTAAACATTAAAAACAGCAACTTTGTAAAAAAAACAAAAACAAAAAAAAAACTCATTGATGATAATAATAGCAATGGGGTGGGAGATTTAACATTTCTGGGCTTATAAACAGCAGTTATGGGTACCATTTTAAAGCTTTTTTTTTATTATTATTTGGATCCAATTAGTGAAATGAAATTTAATGCATGAAGCTTTAGCTGAACAAACACAAGACAACAAAAGAATGATTTAGTTGTTTTTTTTACCAATTATTTTTTAAAACCAAACATTTTTACAAAATTAGAAATCTTGGATGTCTTGAACTGGATTGAAAGGCACAATAAATATCCTGCCACAGGGCCAGAAGAGTCCTCAGTACTCTGACCATGTCAGCTGTCAGTTCAACAGTCTGCTGAATTTTTACAAGAAGCACACAGGCCCGATATCGATGCCAAACTCCTGATTTGGGCCACCAATGTCCACAGGGGCCATATCAACAATGGGAAGTCTTGCAGTTTTCTGTGTCCTGTATTCAAACACTGTCTTGCCCCAGTTGCCAGATGCTTGCTGTGAAAAAGAATAAAGAAAATCAAATAAGAAAATTCTATTTTCAAGAAACAGCTAATATTTCACAGTTGTTTTAATTGAAGAGCATTCAAATGCCTATATCAAAAGAAAATAGGTAAACAGTTTGTGCAATCAGATGTAGGTACGAGGGTAATCCCATAAATAAAGAATCTTTATGGAAAGATTGGGTACTAAAAAATGATAGAATAGATAGAATCTTTTTGTGTACTACCCAAAATACTTTTGGGTTTTAATGATGTGTTTTCGTTGGGCGTAACAAGGAGAGATGTTCAATCAGGTTGAATGAAACGTACCGAGCAGGAGTCTTCCAACACTGTATATCTGAAGCGGTTATTCCCCTCGGCTTTGAGCTCCAAGTCGTTGGAGCCTCTGAGGATCACAGCTTTCTTCAGGTTCCCATTCTTGGCATCGTTGTAGGCCACAGAGTTCTTACAGTGGTAAGTAATGGTCTGAGATGCCTCCTTGGAAAGCAGGCGTATGAAGGTCATCTGAACTGTGGCGGAGTTCGCAGGCTGATCCATGTTGCCATAAGTGAACTGAAAACAGGTAGAAAACGTTAACGCCGCACTGAGACAGAGGTGTGCCGCATTTAAAGCTAAATATTCCTCCTATTATAATTTAAAAGGTGCTACTCACATGCGTCCCGCCATTGATGTCAGCTCCGAACCACACGGGCTTGTTCCTGGAGGAGGTCCACCACACTTTACGGGGTATGCTGGCTGGGTTGGCAGAGATGCAGGTTTCTCCTGTGTCCATGTTGCAGTGAACCTTGATGGCATCTTCTGAACTGCCCTGGTTTGGATCCACCCAGTACTCACCTGGAGTCAAATCAATCATCTTTAGGAAGGAAATAACGCTCATCTTGGGTTTTTTTTTTCTCTACAGATCGTAAGGAAACCAACTGGTTGTGTCGCCTCTAAAACGTACCACTCTTCTTCATGGGATAGCACCTCTTCAGGTCATCACAGGTCCTGGCTGGGTGCTTCCTGCTACCGTCTGGACTCTTTATGCTGTCGATCTGGCTGCTGAGGGCCTTCAGGGTGGCCTGTACGCTGGGGTCAACAGGCATAATGATGGATGAAGAGTTGCTGTTTGGCATGGCTTCATCTTCGCTAAACTCTGGAGGAGGAGGAGGCCCAGAGTCGTAATCCTGGGGGCCACCAAACAGATCGTCCATAGCCGCCACAGGGGGTCCCGGAGGCCCAGGAGGTCCAGCGGGTCCAGGTTCTCCTGGAGGGCCCTGTTGATTTGATATTATTAAAATATTGGTGGATATACATCTGTTAATAACATTTTAAGGTTTCAATGACTCCCACATCTATGTTTTTGATAGAATTTACCTGAGGTCCAATTTCTCCACTGAGTCCACGGGTTCCCGGGGGTCCCATTGGTCCAGGCTGGCCCATATATCCCTCTTTACCAGGAGGTCCGATAGGCCCGGGAGGACCCTGAGTTATGTTCAAATGGAGGTTTACTTAGTGTTAGAAACTGAATTCCACAGTTTTTATCATGCATGAAAAGTCAATCTCATATTGTTATAAAAAGTTTGCCATAAAAAAGTTACGTACCCTCGGACCACCTGGTCCAACTATTCCAGGAGCTCCTTGCTCACCAGTTGTTCCCTAAAAAGATGAATGATAAATAGTCTTACGTACAGGTTTTTTCTTTTTTTTTTTTTTTTCCATTTTCAGACACATAAAATTCCATTTGAGGCTGGGGGGGGGCACTAATCCAATTTGTGAGGTGTTGGGGGATTCCATTGGACATCTCTTTATTTTTAAGATACAAAAACAAAAATGTAAATGTTTACAGTTGTTTATCTTTAACCTACTGGAGGTCCAGGAAGACCCTGCAGACCGGTGTAGCCTCTGTGTCCTTTCTGTCCTCTCTCTCCATGATCTCCCAGGTCACCCTTATCTCCTCTTGGTCCTTGTGGTCCCTGAATCGAAAATTTTAGGTGAAATGTTAATAAAACTTTGACTATTTATTTGAACAATCAGTTTGTAGCTCATCTTTAATTGCAAGAGGATATTTAAGACTGACCCCTAATCCTCGTTTTCCAGCTGTTCCAGATGGTCCTTGAGGTCCTCTTGAACCCTAAAGTAATAAATAAGACCCCTTGTTACTAACCAGCCTTCTCACTGATCAAAGTCTAAATTTACATATTGACATATTAATCAAGAACTTAATAACAAAACACCTTTTCTATTAGTAAATCAGCCTAAAGGTGAAATGATCAACACTTACAGGCTCTCCTCTCCGTCCTGGAGAACCTGGTGCACCAACAGGACCTGGTGTTCCAGGAAGTCCTTGTGGACCAATCAAACCCTCCGGCCCAGAATCCCCTCTGTCTCCCTAGAATGTATAGACAATTAGTGTTTTGCAACATCAAAATCAGAACCAGAATGTTTCTTTGAATCCTACCCTTTGCCCTGGAAGGCCATCTTTTCCTGGAGGTCCGTCAGATCCTCTTGGACCCTGAGGAAAACAAATGTTTTAATTTATACTTGTCCTTATGAGTGTAGCTTAGAAACCAGTTTGAAGTATCTGCTTACATCCGGGCCAGGATCACCACGGGGTCCATTAGCACCAGGGACACCAACAGGACCAGGGGGGCCTTTATCTCCTGGTGAACCTGGGGAGCCCTGCTTTCCTGGAGGTCCCTATAATGAGAAGAACACAAAATTGATGCTTTCATTGTATGGATGTTTATATACAGTAGAAATAACTACCTTACACAGTTCAATGTCTGTTGGTTCAAAAGATAATATAATCTGGGTCTAAATCCATAACATATGGTGACCAAGATATCAGGATCTCCCTGATCTGGTTAAGTGAGGGTCTATACTTCTATTCTACAAATAATACCAACCCCTGGCCCTGGAAGACCGGGCATTCCTCGTTCTCCTCTCTGACCAGGAAGACCCACAATGCCTCTCTGTCCTGTAGTTCCAGCCGGACCCGGAGGACCATCAGGACCCTGAAGCCCAAGACAAAACACACAGAGACTTTACATACTTTCTTTTGCAGATGTAAAAAAATAAAAACACAAATAAAATACTTCATGAAACCTGATTAAGACAAAAGCCTCATTGAGTTACCGTTGGCCCGTCCTCTCCAGGGTCTCCTTTGTCTCCAGGGCTTCCTGGGGGTCCTGCAGGTCCACGCTCACCCTGTCTTCCTGGGGATCCATGATCACCACGCAGGCCAGGTGGACCCTCTTTCCCAGGAGGTCCCTGTGGTCCTGCTTCTCCAACGGGACCCTGAAAAGACACATCATCATCAAATAATATGATTAACCCTGTAATGGGACACACCATACCATTGTTTTTTCAATCCCAAATAACTTAATTTCTCTGTAAACATCTCTGAAATGACATGTGAGAATTGATGCTATGTAGAAACAGTAGATAAAATCAAATGGATTTTATTTGGTTATCTCACCAGAAAGGTTTAAGTTAAAATAACTTGATTATATCTGAAAGTAGATTCCTAAAAACAGTGAAAGTAAAACTTGTAGCTTGGTATAGTTCTCCAGGTCTATATGCAAAGATTCTCCAAATCTCTACAAACATCCTTCATCCACAAATTTCTTAAGATGTTTGTCAGACTCAGTTCGTAGACCCACTTTAGATCATTCCAGAACTATAAACTAACTTTTTAGGTCAGGGTTGATATTTTGAACACTTCCTAATTCAACCCAACTTGACATAAACATAAGTTCTGTCTGGAGTAAAGAAACCCCTCAGAATGATGCTACCACCACTGTGTTTTACCCAAGTTATTGCACTGTGTTACTGAGGTAGAGCATTGGGATTTCATTTCCTGACATTGACATTGGAAGTGAGCATATCAGACTTTATCCTAAACAAAACTCTGGTTGTTTTTTTAGAAGAAGGTAAAGCTTCCGTCATTCACCGTTACCTCTTGGACACGAAACGTGGCACATAAAGGTCATTATGATCATATGTAGAAAATAAGCAGCACCTCTTTCAGTTCATCATATTTCCTTTAAATTGGTAACAGATTTCCTGTATTTTAACGCTATTGAAGATCAACTTTCACCTCTAATATCTTCTCTATTCTGATACCTTTTTAAAGATAAATCTTTTAAATAATTTGCAATCTTTTTGCAACCCATAGTTTTATACACAGTATGAACATGAACAACATTGAGAGAAATACTACCAGGATATGAACAATAATTCAGGTGGGAACTAAAGAAGACTGAAATATATTTGCTTTAAAAGTTGCTTTAACAAAGGTTTAGACATGAGGCTTATCCAACTAGGATGCTGAAGAAGAAAATAATAAATATCCCTTTTTAGTTCCACATTGGGGAAATTTGTAACCTGCAGTTTTCTCACTTTTACTGCAATTATTACCAATCCTGGTCCCTTGTGCTGAATTTTCCCCCTTCCACTTGACTTAAATGAAAGAGAGATTAACAGGCTTCTGCAGCACTTGATGGGTGTTGAGGACAAGCATCATTTGAATTTGATCTACTAAAACAACTGCATCTTAAATATGCAGGATATGGTCCCCTAAGGACCAGGGTTGGGAACCGCTGCATTAGGGAGCAGTTTGCTGCCACACTGAGTAACCCAGGAGGACCAGTCTGGGGTTAAGGGTCTTACTCAGGGACCTGGAATTACAGTCTGAGTTCCGAAACGGAAATGTTACATTTCGGGATATAAAGGCCCTGCTCTACGGACCAATATGCCATAGATGTTTACTTTTACTTTATGTTTTACTCTATGTTGGACATATAAAGGCAATAGTCTGTGGTGAAGCTTCTTTATATGTTTTCATTTTAGATGTGAGAATACAGCCACAGACACAAAAGCAATCTGTAGAATTTGCACTAAAATATCTTAATGTATAATAGATCAGACAGTTTTGTTAAACAGCAAAATTCAGTCACTTTTAAACCCAATCAACAAAATACTCCGGAACTTACAGGTGGGCCTGGTGGACCGACTTTTCCTGCAGAACCAGGGAAACCAGTTGGGCCCTGCAAGAAGAGAAAAAAATCATCAATAGAAAAAAAAATTATAACATATAGAATTGGTTATGTCTTTATTTAAGTAGATACATCAGGTGTTTTGGTTTCCTGAGGAAAAAATGGTTCGAAAGAACCCTTCAGTAAATCACTGTTATCTTACCGGTGCACCCTGTGTTCCTCGTCCTCCTTTTAGCCCAGAAACACCAACTGGACCCTAAAAACATGATACAGCATTTTAAGAAAATCCACCTAGCAACACATACACATAAAACAGCATATGCTGTTTTCTTTTTGTGACTGTAAGACGACAAAGAATGATAGAAATGTGTTAAAAAAAACTTCCAAATCAATCTGGTTGTAAACAAGGTCTAAAAACTGGACACCCACCGGAGGTCCGTGAGCTCCAGCCAAACCCTGAGGTCCTGGAGAGCCAGCCTCTCCCTTTTGGCCAGGCTCTCCAAGCTCTCCCTTGACTCCAGGCTGTCCATCAGGACCCTGCAATCCACAGAATCATTAACAATTAGGCTGTAGGGTTAGGGTTTGAGTTCAGTTTGATCTGGAGATGCACATATCAAAAAGTATTCTAGTTTCTTGCCTGGGGTCCGGTGAATCCAACAGCCCCGATCGGACCAGGGTCTCCTCTTGAACCCTGAAAGGACACAGACTTTTAACTGAAATACTCTAAAACGATAAGAAAACTTCAGATTGCTTACTATACAAGATATAGAAGACTCTTTTTAATTAACATACCGGTGTTCCTCTGGGTCCTGGAGGTCCAGCTGGCCCTTTTGGTCCGGGTTCCCCCTGTAAAGACATTATGTATTCATTGATAATACAGACACTAAATTATGTAGTCACTAATTATAAGACTAATTCTATACTGAACCTTTTCACCGCTGGGTCCAGCAGGTCCTACAGGGCCAAGGGGACCTGGGGCTCCCTGTGGAGGAGAATAAAAAAAGCCTGCTCATCAGCCGTGCCTTTGATTAACAGCAACATGTGCAGTCCCGTCAGCAGAAACAAGCTGGGACGAGCTTTGAGCTGCATGAATCTATCATTACAGTTTGTTTTTATGTAAATGAAATGCCATTGTTCAAGGCTTAGGCAGACTGAAAAGTACTGTTTTGAGTGCAGAGAAGATAAACCTACTCTTGCACCATCGTTGCCAGGTGTACCCTCTGATCCTTTTTCACCGATTGCACCCTGAACAGAAACAGCAAGAACAAACGGTTTTCAAACATCAGTCCTGATAAAGTTTATTCTGCTCTTACCATCCTTTTCCAAAGATGTTCAGGGATCATTTGTGAATCCCTCCAAAGATGCTGAAACACGTACCCTGTCACCCTTGGGCCCTGGAGGACCCGAGATTCCTCGTTCTCCGGGCATTCCCTGAAGACCAGGAGGACCCACATCTCCAACAGTGCCGGTAGGACCAGGGCTGCCCTAAAGTGACAAAGATCATAATTTTAACGACTCTTTCTCCTGAGAAACAATAGGACAAGGAATGGCTATTTTATGGAATAAATAAGTGTCATACTGTAAATGTAGGATCATATTGTGAATCATAGCAGGAGGCTTTTAACTAACAACCAAGAGATGCATGTAAAAAGGTCCAGGAAAGAAGAAGGAAACCCAGAAATGACCTTCGCCCTATGCACTCCAGTTCTCTTTGGGTACTCAGAGAGAAAATATAGAACAATCGGTTGCTTGGGGGTTTCCTCTTTGTGGGATGTTCTGAGAACTCTTCTGTAGTTAGGACCTCCATATGCATTCTGATTAGATGCCCAAGTGAAATGTACTGGGGGAAAGAGTCATAGGAGCAACCAGAGGGTCACCATTTGGAGTCTTCTGTCTGTCTTCTAGGTCTAGACATTTCACCTACATTGCGTACTTATGGTGATTAGAGGCTTCAGTGACCCCTGTGTGCAGCAGCCTAGCCTCTGTCAGCGAGCTCCAGTGAAGCAGTCGCTCGCCACCATCAGTGAATAAATCGATGGGTGACTGATTTTAAGAAGAGCTTTGAGGTACTGAGACTTAAATAAGTTTAAAATGGCGAAAACCATGGGTGTAGCCCCAGCAATCTCTTTTCAAACCGATTTAGAAATCCAGCTGCTTCCTAAAGAGTTAAACTGTCCTGTCTCAAAAAAACTTCAGCACACAACATCCAGTGTGTGTTAGAGAAATAATCTGATTGCATTCCTACTGTTTGCCCCCTTAATACTAAGTCCAGCCTTCCAAAGAAGATTATTTCATTTGGTGGACTCTGGGACATCGCTCTTTCTATCATGATACTGTAGATTTCCCGTCACCATATAGGTGATACACTAAAATAAGAAAGACCAGTAATTCGAGAGGTTAACCTATTGGCTTTCTTCAATGAAACAGATAAGAGGGACACTTTTATTCCTACAAAACAAAACCCTATTTTACTGATCTCTTGCTAACGAAGAAGACAAAAGATACTTCAACCTCTCAACCTGTAGTAAGAGGTCAACATTTTTTCTGGTCGAGAACCAAGGTTTTAAAGATTGAGGAACTGGCTGTCAAACTTTAACTGCACAACTGTGCACTGAAGATCAGGGTATAAAGACGACAAAAGAAACACACCAAGAAACACAATGTGGACACCTTGTACAGCTGGCTTTAACTTAGAGAAACCATTGCATTTTCCAAACTATGAGGTCATACACATTAATATTTGCCACACTCCTATTCAAACCAAAATTAACTTGATGGCCCTCATTTAGATCTGACTCTTAGATCTCTATGTAGACTACCTTTTCTACTTAGATATATTACTCTAAATTTAGACACCAATAACCACATGTTTATAAATTTCCCCACTTTCCTTGAAGGGTCCTTGGCTGGTTCCCTACAATTCCTTTTTAAACATCAACCTTTGTACTAAAATATTCTTTCTGTCATGATTTGAGGACATTAAGGTCTAAAGAGAAACGTCATCTTCTGGTCAGACCCTGTAATTTAGTGAAAGGATGAAGTCAGAGTAAAAAAATATGCAAGAGGAGGTCACTGCAGTGGCTCGAAGTTGGAGGGGGTTTCACTGGGAGTTGAAGGGAAGCTGGCTGCCGTTCGGCTGGCGTTTGACTGTGAAGGGCCATTTTGAATGACTGCTACTGTAGCCTTTGGAAATTATCAGATGAGGCAGTACTCTACTTTGAAAAAATAAATCAAGGGTTATTTTTTTAGCATAATTAAAACTTCACTGAAAGATATACAAGGGTTGTGTGTTAAGCTGAAATTTCAATATATGCCAACCAGAATACAAGGGATAGATAAAAAAAAAAATGTGGATTTATGTATACGGATAATTACTGGAACCACTGTTACAGTTGAACTAATGTAAATAACAAGGTAAAATATGAGCTATTTAATAACATAAACTCAAACCCTGTCTGTTTAAATATTCCTGCAGTGCTTGTCTAAAGTTTGGTAACAAATATGACTACATTTAGCTGAACTTTAGCTGACAAAGATGTCAAAAATTTGGATGTATCTTTAATAAAAACTTCTTAGTGTGTGCAACACAAATGAGAGCAAATATGAAGCTTTTAACTGTGGATATATATTTTTTTATTTGTCAAATGCAGCATCCCACTTAAATCTCTTGAGACATTCACAGATTAATACATTTAAAACCTATTTACTTTAAAAACCCTCTGAACAAGAACCCCCTTAAACCTGTGTAAACTGAACTACAGTACCTCTTATAAATGCATGAATTGATGTTAGTACATGAATATTTATTACCTTTGGTCCATCTGGTCCCGGTGCACCAGGAATTCCTTTAGGTCCCTGCAGACCGGATGCTCCCAGTTCTCCTCTCTCTCCAGGGATTCCTCGCTCCCCCTGAAATTTAGAACGCATCATTTATTGAATGATTTACTGAATTTCCTTTTAGGATGAATAGAGTATTACTGAACCGAATTGAATTCAATTTAGAATTAATAAGTGGCACAAATATCTTTATATAATAAAGATTCACTCACCCTTGGTCCAATTTGACCAACTGGACCAATTTCTCCAGGGATGCCCTAAAAGTAACACAAATATCAGTTTTTAATGGCAGTGCATTTTTTTATGTGGTTAAAAATGTTGCTTTTGTTGGACTTACCTGGTCACCTGGTTTACCAGACTCTCCAGGGGGGCCTTGGTTTCCTGGTAAACCCTATACAATAAATAAAAGATGGTGAAACAATGATAGATCATATTTTATAAATGTTTTTTTTTTTATCCACATCTGTGGAAAAAATCCAATATTTACCCATAGATACAGTAAAATTTGTTTTATGGTTTTATTAAGGCTTTCTATTTCTTCAATAAATTGCTTTGAAGCATTTTGTGTTTGTTTCATATTCAAGTCAAGAAACCCCAACACACCGGGAATCCATGTACACCTGGTGGCCCCTGTTCTCCTCTGTCTCCTGCTGGGCCCTTTAAAAGACACAGTTCAAATTAATAATTTTTCTCAAGCCCAAAAAAGAAAAGGACCTTTAGCAAGTTGTGTGAAGCTAAATAAAAGATATACTTACGGGTGGACCAGGGGGGCCTGCTGGGCCGACCTCTCCATCTTTTCCAGGAGGTCCCTGATGATACGTAAAAAATAAACTGAGTATAGAGATAGATAATTACCTAAATAAATCTAGAAGAAGGAAATGAACCACTTTAGTGAAAGCACTACAGCCAAGAATAAACCAGCTTATAAAATTACTTACTCTTTGACCTGGCACTCCTGCAGATCCTTGTTCTCCTGTTTTTCCAGGGTCACCCTTCAAAAATAAAATATATTTCAAGTCAGAAAAAAAAATGAAACACGCTTTTTAATCAAACATTGTATGAGAATGTCATGTCACTGATTATAAATAAATCGGCCTTACAGTGAAGCCCTTTGGGCCTGGGGCCCCCATGGTTCCTACAGGGCCTCTATTGCCAATTGATCCGGCTGGGCCTGGACGACCATCCTCACCAGATGCACCCTAAAAAAGAACCAAATCATAACTTAATTTAAACATTAAAGCATGTTTATGGATATTATAACTAAAAATTCCACTGCGATAAGTTTTATAAAGGACTGTTTGTGGCAGTGAAGGCTGCTGTTCTCGAAAACAGAAAAGGCTCAGAGGCGTTAAATAAATCCAAACAGAACGTATTGGTTTAAAAAATGTTAAAACACATAAAACACATGCCTAAAATGGGTTAAAATTCACTTCAGAAACAACTGCAAGATTTCTGCACAAGATGACTGTTTTGACTGAATGATCACTTTTACATCTCCACTCATGAGGAAAACCTCCTCGCTGTCCAGCCACCATCAGTCAAAAATCCTTAAGTATGTTTGCCAATCAGCATCTAGTAGCCAGCTAATATCACAGCATCAGGGTTCAGATCCAAAGAGAAACCTCAGTACTGCTTTATCCTTGGAATTTTACACTTTATTTGTTACCTTAGAGATCTTTTGCTTGTAACATCACTTTATTCTTATATATTATGACTTTATTCTGGTACTATTAGGACATTTTTTGTACCATTAAGACTTTCTGAATTTTATGATAATATTTTCAAAATATGAAATCATTATAGTATTACAAATTTAATCTGATATTATGACCTCCTCGCTGTGTGGCCACCATCAGTCAAAAACCCTTAAGTATGTTAGCCAATCAGCATTGAGTAGCCAGCTTCACGACCCATCCCTGCTCCATAGACCCCCTAAAAGGTTTAGCCTCACTGGAAGTGATGTATTTTTCCATGTTATCCAATCAGGGCTCTACTTTCTTGTTGCTTTTAGTGAATATTTAAAGCATTTTAATGACTACATTTATGATGTGCAGCCTTCTAAAGCGGGGCATACACTGTACGATTTTCACCCTTTTCGGGGCTATTCTCTAGCCTGGGTGCCATTCCGAACTTAGTCCCGCCCACAACGTTTGAGGTCGGGAAGTTCGGTCTGGCATTGCTCAATAGTAGCGCGAGTATGCTCGCACAATATCTGGTGGGCCAATCAAATTGTCAGGGCGGGCTTTATACGATGATGGACAGATGATCAACAGTAACGTAATCTACCACGTCACCAAAGCGCGCTTGGGTGACAACAACAATGGCTGCCGCTGGAGAGTTGAGGTGTGTAGATTCTGCTATTAGGTCTGTTCTAGAAGATATCGACAGCAAATTAATTTTAAAAGAGGAACAGAGAAACGCGATCAAGGCTCATCTTCTTATTCTAGGCGTGCAACTGCACGCTTTGATTTTTGTTGACAACAACTATGCGTCGCTTAGTTGCTCTTATTGGTTGTAGGTCTATCCAATTGAGTGCAGAGGCATTTTTTTTCCTGGTTCGTTCGAAACACGCCCCATAATCACAGCTCTATGAAGCAGTATCAGACTCATATTCTGACTAGAATTGAGTAGGACTACGTCAGGCTAGTGATTCTCCAGGCGTGCAAGAATATTTCGATTGTGATCGTGCGTCCTGCGTCATGTAGTGTACAGGGGGTAACGAGGGGCAATTGGCCTTTCACGTCCACCTCCCGGTCAGGAATCGTAAGGTTGGAAGAAAATCAAATGAAATTTGAAATTCAGTCTGCCGTCGTAAGGTGGTCGTGGGCAAATCGCTAAGTGGGCATCCACTAACAAGGATTCTTCTTCTTCTAATTCCTCTCAGACGAAAACTCAGAAGCATGGCAGGGGTGCGAAATGGAGTTCTTTCTGTAAAATTGGCAGACCGTAATAGCCACGTTTGCTCAGCCATGTCTTCGTCCAAATATTTCGCCGCCTTTTCATTTTAGGGCTTTCAGCAAACAACATTGCACAAATTGCCAAGGCAGCATGTTTCTCTTTAATGAATTTCATATTCCTCTTCTATGCATTTGGCTTCCGGATAGACAAGTACGAGTAGCTCCATCTCACTGCAGAGCTGAGTGCGACATGTTTTTTAGAGTTACAGTTTGAGCAGGTAGATCGGATCAGAGTGTTGGGTCACACAGTGTGAGAACATACATCGTGAGCTGTGAACTCACACTGTATGACGAAACCCTGTGGTTTCGTCATACAGTGTGAGCTGGAGCTGCGTGCAATGACTGAAAAAAAAAAAACGTACAGGGTATGCCAGCTTAATTCAGACATGATCATTCATCACATTAAAACAGGACTTTACTGTATGTAGAAGTCTAAAAATGGAAGAAGATTTTGCTATTTTGTGAAAGATTCCCTTTTATTATTAGATTTATAATTATTTGGTGCATTTTTATTTTAGCTAACAGCGTTAGCACAGTCACAGTCACTCGTTTCTGCAATTCTCAAAATTGAACTCTGGAGGGAAAGATAGAGTGGTTTACAGCCTAATTTAGACACATCTCTTAATAAGAATAAAGCCTGTATTATGATGATAAGGTCTTACTATTATGGGAAACAGTCCATAGTAATATGAACATAAAGTACTGAGAAAAAAAGAAAAACACTTTTTGCAAGAACCAATTCAGTATAGTGGCGAATGTTACCATCTGTGACACGGGACACTGGGGTTCGATTCTCTTGATGGTAGATACTTTAGATAAAAGCATCTGCTACATGGTACACATCTAAGAATGCTTGAGCTAATCACATAACATCACAGCCTCAGAGTTCACATACAAAGCTTAGCATTTTAACAGAAAGAGAAGACTGCTCTTTCTTTTAGAAACCTTAGTACTGCTTTATCCTTGGAATTTTACACTTTATTTGTTACCTTAGAGATCTTTTGCTAGTAACATCACATTATTCATATATATAATAACTTTTTTCTGGTAATATTAAGACTTTTTTGTACTATTATGACCTTATCCTCTCGATTTTATGATAATATTTTCAAAATATGAAATCATTCTTGTATTATTACAACTTTAAGCTGATATTATAAATGTAGTTTTCTACCTGAAATACACATATTATGATGTTAAGATTGTAGGTCTGCTACTGTAAAATTATGCTGCACTTGTATTCTTGTAGATCTAATATCATGATTTTATTTTATGACTCTTCTCTCATAATATTATAACTTTATCTTGTAATTCATAAGAAAATATAAATATATCTCTTAGTGTGGTGTTCAAGGGAAAACAGTCTTTAATAATTGGGATAAAATTAAAATTTTTCTAAATGAGTTTGTGTAATTGAATTGAACTGACTCAATATTCCAGCTGAGTTTGGATGATATGAATTGTTATTTTAAAATGCATTAATTATTTTTGCTACACAATGAAATAGATATGTAAAACAAAATGTAAATGAAGACCTTGCACTTAAAAGTAAAAAGCAGCCTTATAATTTGATTAGAATTTCAATCTACGGTAATAATTTTTTCTATTTTTTCCCAATTATCAACTAACACATTTTTAGTTGAATGAATGGTTGCTTTTACAGAGTTAGGACCAAAACTTACTCTATATGGTTTCCTGCTTATTTGTAAACATACAACCCACAGCTTAAACTAGCTGCTAAAGCTAATGATGCTAAGGAAAGTTCTATGATGCTTTCAAGAAAAAATCTTCTTTCAGTTCAAACACCAAATACTACCAAAGACATGTAGACATGTTTAAAGGAGAAACAGAAAGAAGGTGCATGCTTCAAAAACATACATGTATAAATGTAATTGGAGACAAAGGAAAATTAGATGTGTTTACTGCATCTATAACTGTGAAAACACATTTAGCATAACAATATATATCTTCCTTATCTATCAATGATTTTGGCACTGGGAGACCACAGTTAAGCTAACTTACTTGACCACTTAAAACAGTCCTTTTAAAGTGTGATAAAGCTCTTTAACTTACCAGGGGCCCTGGCTTCCCTTCTGCCCCCTGGACTCCTGGGGTACCAGTAAGACCCTATGGAAGATTGATCAAAAACAAGTATTGATTTGTCAGAATGGATCTGTAACAATAACAAGAACTCTATTTCAAATATCAAAGACAACTCTTGTGTTACCCTTGCACCTGGTAGACCAGGCTCCCCTGGACGTCCGGGGTCCCCAAGAGAGCCTTTTGGGCCCGGTGGACCAGAAGTGCCACGGTCTCCTTGAGCACCCTTTCCAAAAGATGGGACACAATTTTTATTTATTATATGAATTAAACAAAATAAGAAAAATTCTGCAAAAGAAATAAAGAATACCTTTGGCCCAGGCAGGCCATCAGCACCAGGGAAACCTCTGTTACCAGGAGAACCCTAAAAGACACAGCATGGTATCAATCATTACTAAATCATATGTCCAATTCAAGCAAATCAGCATTTTGGGAGAAACAAGGCTACTCCAGATCCATTCTACTCTCCACACAGGTTCCAGATAATACCATATATAACCAGATAAAACCAAATGATACCTGACAGGGAGAAATCCAGACAGAAGAACTTTTTAGACAGCTTTAGGGCATCTTATGAGTTTAGCTACTGTAGTACACAGGCTTATTTGCAGATTTAGTTTGCATTGGACTTGTTTTGAGCTAAGGTAAACACCACAATAACACCTGATTAACACCATCATCAATGAAGGTCCTTATTGACTTAAACCTTGTATTGTTACATTTTGTATTGTTCATAGGTTTAATATCTGTAAAATCTGCAGATTTGGCATCAACTTTTCCTAAAGAGGTGCTGATATAACAGTTTATAATTGTTTTTATAAAGGGTCTTTTTTTAAAGACTCAGGAGTGTTTTTTCTAGTAACAAAAATGCATAACTTAAATGAATGGTAAACTGTAAAGGTAAGTATCTAGAAATGCATGAAGATTGCAATGGATATAAAATGGATATAAACTGTTAAAAATAATATCCTCTGTAGCTTCTAAACAGGAACATGGGCAAATAATCCAACATATGAGTTGTAAAAACCTTAAGGGCACGATAGGAGATCATTCAGAACAAGGTGAACATTTAAAATGTTGGGGAAGTACCGTATTTGCAGACATTGTTTTAGCGAGAATAAAAATGGTGACTTACTCTCTCACCGACGGGACCTGGAGGCCCAACAGAGCCGGGATCTCCACGTGGTCCTCGCTTTCCTTCCTCACCCTGAGGTCCTATCACTCCCTGAGAACCTGGTGGACCCTAAACATATATGAAAATACAAAACAAAATTCAGAGTAAATGCTCATACCTGTCAATTTTCATCTGACATCAGTTTTTTTTTTTTTTTGATAGGTTCTTACCGGTTCTCCTTTTGGTCCTGCCTCTCCTTTGAAGCCAGGAACACCAACGTCTCCCTTTGAAGAGAATTTTACATATTTCAGGCTCCATTACATGGTTGAAATATTATTTGAGGAACCAGAAATAAGTCAAAACTTTAACATTTACTCACTCCCTGTCCTTTTATGCCAGGCTGACCCGTGCTTCCCTGTGGTCCTGGTGGGCCAGGGGGTCCAGGATGGCCTCCTGCACCTTGTGGACCCACATTACCCTGTAAAGAGGGGCCATTATTGATTGTAAAATGTACATAGTTTTCTATTTATTTTTATTTTTTGGCAAAACAAGAGATCTACATACCACTGGTCCTTTGGTTCCTGGGCCTCCATCTGTACCCATGGGTCCCTGAAAACAAAAATATTTGTTATGTGTCAGAAGTATTGCATCGCTTGTATAACTTCTACTATAACAAGGAATTGCAGATAATGACCCTGAGTCCAACTGGTCCAGGTCTGCCTAAACGACCCGTCTCTCCTCTCTGACCCTGTGGGCCTTCTGGACCTCGGACCCCTGTGGGACCAGGTTGTCCCTGTGGAAATCAATCAACAAGTGCATTAAACAACACAAGAGTTTTGCTGCTTCATGTTTTCACAATAATAAAACATCACTGAGTATGTAGAGGCCTCTGTCAGATGTGTTGTTCTACTTGCCTTCATACCCGGAGATCCTGGATACCCTGCAGGACCGCTGAGACCTAACGGGCCCTGTTGTTTGACAGAAGTGGCAAGATGAGATTTTAGAGCTATATAGTCAACATATTTATTAGCAGGACGGATAAAGAACATATCAGTCTCAATGTATCTTTTTAAAATGAAAGATTAAAAGGAAAATAGTGCAGCATTAACTTGACATACAGCTATGATTCCTTCGTGGTTTTTATATCATAAAGTAAGGTTTACCTTCTTAACTCCTTCCCTAAGGTTAAGTAACTGATAACACAAACACACTATGTTTTATGTCTTTACATAGAATATTAACAATATTTCTAAAGGCAAAAAATCTATCTGCTTGACATTGGAAAAGTTACCATGATGCTTTGGCTATTGTTTGTTTAAAAACCTAGCCCAATTTGAAATCCTTCCACAAACCGTTTTTAACCATTACATACAAATTTCGGGTCCTCTATTCCTAATCTAACCTCTCCATTCAAAATCAATAGATATCCAAGTGAAGCTCCAACTTCTCAAAAAACATGTTGCAGTTTCTCAGGGACTGGTTCTTGATTGCTACCTTATCAAAAAGATCAACCAATCAAAGCCTTTGCTTCTGTCTGTTTGCTGACAGTTCAAACAGATTATAATTTACCATTAACTCAAGCTCATTAAAAGGTCTCTTAACCTTTAAAAAGCAGGTGGGGGAAAAAAGAAAAGCATGGAAGACCAAGTACTATTTTCAGATTTAAAAGAAAAAAAATACACTTTATGTTAGTTTGATTCTTATGCACTTTGACTTACAAAAACTTCTTTCAAAGTTAACTATTAGCTTTCGATTTAAAATAGTAGCAATACATAAACAAAGATTAAGATATTAAAACAACACATAGTTAAGCTTCGACATTTACATATTTAGTAATTAATAAGATATAGTTATTCATATAAATCATCTTATGTAGAAAAAATATTTTTTCACGATTCTTACTAGATTTAAAGAGGCATTATGGAGTTTTCCAATGATGCTGCCACCTGTGGCCAAAGCACAGAACTGCAGCTCTCTTCTGCTCATTCTTGTTGCTTGCGCTCATACTTAAGATTTTTTTTGTTTTTACATTTTTCACCTTACATTGAGTTGTCATTGCTATCTATGTAGAGCTGGATGACAGTATATCTAAAAAAAACAGGCTAAAAGTACAGGCTCATAGATGCATTGATACTGAACTATTGAGGTCAGTCCGCTCATCTAACAATGTTTTGGTCGTAAAGGGTCAAATAAAAAGGCTATTTTAAAGATAGTTTTCAAAAAGCATAATATCTCTTTAAAGAAATGTAGAAACATGCATGCTAATGTTCAGTAAATGCTAAAAAGCAGAATTATGCACAAGTGAACTCACCAGTGGTCCAGGTTTCCCAATGTTGCCAGGCATACCCCGCTTCCCCTGTCAAACAAGTTTAATCATTAAACAGTGTTGAGCTTAGTTTTTTGTATTTTTTTATGCTTTAATTAGTTCTGGTAGTAAAAGTTTTATAAATGTAAAATATATATTTTTTTTTTATTAATTGTTTTCTGGTAAAAGGTAACTCTTTGTTTTAACAGACTTACTGCGACACCGCTAGGTCCAGGGCGTCCTCTCTCACCCGGCATCCCAGCGGGACCCTGTTAGTCAGACCGAAAAAAAATTTCAAATACTTATACAGTACCTGTTTGTTAAAAGGAGAGAACTAATTTTCCACTTTTATCCCTGATCCTAACTAAATCAAATTAACTTATTTATTAATTTTTTTTTAACCTGCCACCACTTTACTTGACATAAGACACCTTAAATCCTTACTGTATATAAGTCACCTTGATCTCTTCTTCTTTATTTTTTCCCATCCACTGTATGTATCTGGTTGCACTGTATATACTTCATGCACCTTTTCCTCTTTTATGCACCTTCTTTTTTTTATAGGAACCAATGTCACAAGTGAATTTCTCCATTATGAGATCAATAAAATTCTAGTCTAATCTAATCTAACTGTGGATTGACTTTGGGAATATTTAAACAAAATCAAAGGTATATTCCCTCGCTCTGCAAAATGGTAATACTTTGGACATACACTATACTTACCATTGGCCCAGGTCCTCCCATAGGACCAGGCGGCCCTGTGGCACCCTAGAAAAACAAACATTATTTCATTACTCCGTACAGATTTTACATTAACATATGCAGTCAGTCATAATAGTTCAGTTTTTATCAGGCATGTTTTAGGGATGTCCCGTTGACTCCCTGTTACCAGAGGCGATTCTAGAGTCTGTGGGGGCCCCAAGCAAAAAATCCAAGGGGGCCCTACTGACCAGTGTTCATCACCATTATGTTAGGCTATAAATAATCTGACACCAATGAAAAATGTATTAAATAAAACCTTTTTTTATTCCAAATGTTCTAAACATGAACAACCTTGTTATTTTGGAAAATATATAAGAATAAAAGTAAAGAATAAACTAATAAATTAAAATTAATGTATAATAAAATAAAAAAACAGTAAATTACTTTAAAAACCCAATATAAACTTTGTACAAAATATAAAGTATAGTAAGTGTAGTGAAATNGTAGCTGTGAGATTTGACTGTATGTCCCATACACGCCTTTTCTCTCAATGATCAATAACAATCAATCAGGGATAATGTTACTTCCCAGATTATTTCTGGGATAATTTAAAGTCAGTTTGCTCCTCCAGTCAATAAAGTACCAGACCTTCCATTAAATGTTACAGCTTTATGTCAAATAGATATAATAGAACTTCGTTTTTACAGACCCAATTCTTATATGGGTAAAAAGCAGCGTATACCCAGTGGTAAATACAGTAAAGGATGTGTGATGCTGGAGGCCTAGGTCTTTAAATAATAAGGGTGATGTCACAAAACTGTCATGAATGGCCATTAGGTCTAAAACATATGGCTAAGTCATCAGTAACATGTGGAGGGCGCCGTCACCCTGTCACACTCTTTGTCTCCTGGTTAAAGCAAACTTTAAATCAGAGAGATGTTCCTTTTTGTTAAAGCCTCATCTTACTGTGTTAAGGGCATTGCTGAAGTGAACACAGATCAGACTGTTGATACCGTCTTTAGATGTAATATACCAGAGAAATATTTACACGCTTACATGACTTGTGTCTTGTTCATACCTTAGATCCAAGTGCTCCAGTTTCACCTTTTTGGCCAATTGGTCCAGAATGACCCTGAAGGCAAGAATCAGATGAAATTGGAACATATCAACAGATTTTTTAGGTTTTTTTTAAATTATCATTGTTGATATATGAAGAATATAACAAACATATAAACATCAAACACATTCCCTTTTAAAATATAGTTTAAACGATTCACAAATAATGACATTTTTAATGTTTTTTGGAACTCACTCTGTGACCCTTCAGGCCAGGTGGACCAGGTGTACCAGGGAATCCTCTTGATCCCTAAATATGAGGAAAGAGTAAGATTTTTTTTTAAATAAAAATGTTTAGTAAAAGGAGCTCCATCTCCATGAGGTATAAAGTTGGGGAAAGTTACCGGTGATCCAGGGAATCCAACTTCTCCGGCATTTCCTCCTCTACCTGCTTCTCCCTGGATGGGTGAAATGACATTTAAACATTGCAAAACCTTTCTTGAATATGTTTTTTTTTCTTTTTTTTATAAATATATAGCCAATAATGCATGGCTTTATTTGTAAACTTTTTAGGCAAGCATGCTTTATTCTACTGTCAAAATTTGACATATTATCTGATCTTAATTTTCTGAATTCATATTTAAAGAAAACTTTAACATTCTTTACATTCTGAGTTAAAAAAAAAATATTTAATGTGCTGTTCTAATGACTTTTACAGCACAAATGAAAAACAACTAAAATATGACTTTTTGCAGCCAAGAAATATTGTAAAAGTTCAATATATTCAAAATGAACAACCAAAGCAAACTCTTATGCCACTCAGATTATGTCCCTCAATCCCAAGGATGTCATGAAAAAAAATGCTTTACTTGAGTGCCTATTAATATGCCAGTACAACCTTATAAAACTGAGTTTATTTCCCTAATTGATTAGCATTTTATTTTGGGATATATTATAATTGGCCACAGATTTGAAAGATTAGTGATGTATGCAACTCCGAGGAGTTTAACTCTCAGACTTTTTATTCCACTTGGAACAATAAACCGAACTTGACTCCATTCTTTTAGTACAAAGATCAGATTGGCATGTATATAAGTTTGTTATGATATTGTTATAATAGTTGTATTGTTGTAATTATATATTTAATATGCATTATATGTATTCAAAATTGTTCTTTATGTCTTGTAAAGTACTTGTTGTGAATTCAGGATGTATAAACTACCTGCACTGAATTCTAAACTTTCTTTTTTTTTCTCAAAGGAATTTTTACATGTCTTAAAACATGAATGTGAAAACAGATGAGTCATGAAACAGTCGTCTGGCTACAAGATCAAACTATTGACATGTCTGATACTATTTAGCCTAAAAAAAACATAAAAAAACAGATACTTTCTCTAGTAGCAAAGCAAAAAAAAGTTGCTAAAGTTGGAAAATCTGAAATTCTGTTGCTTTTATTGTCTTGTGACAGCCAATCAGGACCTGCATTTCGCTTTGATGCAGTGAAGACAAAGTTGTACTCAATCAAACGGAAGATAGAAAACCTAATGTCAACACAGGATTAATTAAAAAGTGCTTTTAACAGGTTGGTGGGTGAGTTTTAATAGAGCAGTTGTAATTTAGACCTTATAAAGACTTAAATTATTCCTCATTTTTTGTCTTCTTGTAGCCCCTCTGCCCAGCGTCCTGCTCTGATCTCCCGTGTCAGCTCCAAAGCGGGCCCCATCCAGTCGCTTCCTCTGCCCTGCTCTGGATCATTCTCTCCTTGCTGTCTTCCTCCGAACCCCTGCTGCTCCAGTCTGAGCTCCAGAATCCCCCCCCTACCTTACGTCTGCTCATCTTGAATGAATAAAGTGGCGTGATATGGTAAAATCCAGGCCCGCCATGCTAATTTGAAACCCAGCAAGCAGCAAAAGAAAAGCTCTTTCTAACTGGTGATGTGGTGAAGCCACATAAGTGGAGCTTGTTGCCCTCCATGCAAAATGCTTGCAAATTGTCAACCAAGCCACGGCACCCAAATGTAACGACTTTGTTGCTGGTATCGCATTTGGTATAAATGTACTGTTATTGGCAGGTTCACTGCTGCCAGTAAGCTGGGTGTCTTATTCAGGTTTGGCCTTGGTAAAACTTCTATTTTCCATTTGTAAACTTTGCTAATTCCATCTGGTTTTGTGTGGAATCTCTGAAAATTCTGCCTTTTTACTGTAACACCTTAAACTTATGTTAAGTTGCACTCAGTAACTTTATTGTTTTCTCACTCCCATCTATACAAACCAGATTGTAATAAGAGGATAAAATTCTTAGAGCAGCAAAGACTCACATCTTCGCCGGGTTTTCCTGGTGGGCCCTCAGGTCCCCTCAGCCCTGGTGAGCCCTGAAAAAAAGTAACAAATTTTAGACACATATTGCATAATAACACATATTTTGAATTATCTCCATGCTATGCAATAAAAAGTTTGAAAAGGATCGTCATACCATATGACCTGGATCACCAACATCTCCTGGAGGTCCTTGTGGTCCAGGGTGACCCTTTAAAAGGATGAATAACACATTTCATGAGAAAAACCAGATGGACAGACAGAATATTTTTGATAAGGAAGGTGACGCAGACTTACAGGTGAGCCATTCGGCCCCGGTGGGCCTCTTGTACCTGCTTCTCCCTACAACAAATATCATTAAGATTCAAATCAGGAGCTTCTAATACAAAAAATTAGAATCTTGACAAAGTAAAACCAAACAATCATTTCTGTCT